TGGCCGAAATTACGGAATCGGACCTTAATTTCCGCAATTGTCTGCAATATCGTAAATCGCAATTATTCCGCAATTGCTTATTTACGGACCCATCCTTATATGTGGCTTTTATTAATCATGGTAATCCTTATAGAGATATGAAGAACATTAAGCTCACTTGTCATCTCATTCGAGACTTTGAAGATGTTTCAGTTTTGCTGAAATTTGATATTAAAATTAATTCTAGCGATTACATTGATTCTCTTAAAGATAAAATCTATGAAGTCATCAAGCAGAAAAATAATATTTTCTTCAATATTAAGGCTAATGACTTAATGCTATAGAAGGTACAAATTCCTAATGATAATAAAAATGGTTTTTCAAGCCTTGAATTACAAGAAGGTGAAGAGAGGTATGCGTAGAAACTCAAAAAAATTATTAGCAATTATTGGAATGGTGAAAAACTTCTGAAAGTAGGATATATTCATGTTATTGTTGATTCGCCATTGATAAGAGCAAATCAACAAATGGCAAATTTGGCAATCAATCAAGGTAGGTCTAGTTAATCTTAGCAATGTATTTTTTTTATCAAAACATGATCATAATTTTAACATGCTCTATGTATGAAAAACAACCAAAATTACTCTTCACAGCGTCATTAGAAGTCTAGGTATTTGTAGCTTTTTCGAGATAGAAATAGAAAAAAATGAACATATTGTTAATCTTAAGGAGATCATTATGAAAAAATATTATAAGTCCTTTTCAGATAATGATTTCTATGATGTTAGATTATGAAAAGTGGAAGTATCCTTTGAAAATAAAGTAATATTTGATAATCTCAAAAATAATAAAGAGGCCAGTGCCGTTAGGATAACACTAAATCACTGGTCGAAGTCAAGGGATTTGCATAAAATTTATAACCAAGAAATTTGATATACATGGCCCATTTACCAGTAATTTCAACCAAATATGGTAAAAATGTACATTACATAAATTAGTTGTAAACTTGTCCAATTTTCATGGGATTTATATACCATTTGAAATTCGCAAATTTCTACAATAATAAATTTATTTGAAATTACAAATAAATCTTATCTATGTTTTGAACCACTGTTCTATAAATCATAAAGATATCTAAATCAAATTTGATTTGTATTTGTAAATATACAGTCAATATAAAGTAAAAACATCAATAATAAATGTACTATAAATTTATTAAAATCCCATTTATATTTGCATATATTAGAATTAAATTATTTGTGAAATACAATCTATATTACAATAAATTCTTATAAATATTACAATTTTCCAAGTATTCTTGTCCTATAATTTCTTACGAATGAAATTCATTAATAAATTGGTCTTTTTACTTAAACTAATAAATTAAACCCACCATTATTAAATAATCTATAATTAAACTGAAAATCTTCTATTCAATAGTATTACAACTGTTAAATTAGTTTTGGAATTTTGAAGACAATAATTTGATTTCACAAAACGGCATATAATTCGTTGAACTGGTATAATATTTTCGCATGAAAGTTTTTTATTAATTAAAGGTTTCCATAATTCAACATGCCTCATACCATTTAGTGCAACCCCATCAAGAACTCTGGATAATCCTCGTCGTGATATATTAAAATGATTAATTTTGTTGCTTTTGCTATACCAATCGACCATCGCTAATGTGTGTTCTGTGCATCCAACGTATGGTAGTACAATCAAATGTTTAAAAAAATAACGGATGGTTGCTGGCCAATATTCAATATTATTTTCATTATCTAAAAAAGCAACCATTACATTAGCAGAAAGATCAGAATGACATAATTTTGATCCAAAACGCTCATCTGCAATCTGAAGAGCTGATGCGCGTATTATTGAAGGAGAAACAAATATTGCATTTCTATCTTGGGATCGACTTCCAGAATAAAATTAATATTCAAGATCAGCATAGACTCATTCATAATAGTTGACTAAACTATCAACTATCGTTATTTCACAAATAAGTGTTAAAATTTTACCAGGAATTGGTTCGTAACCGCGTATATTCATTTGGCTTATTTGAAAAGGAAGATTTTTAAAATATAAAGCTTCTTGAATGGTGAAATTGTATTTTGTTATTGTCCCTCTAGTATTTTCTTATTGAAATGATCATAATTTCGTGAAAGATTTGTCTGAAAAAAGATCCTTTCAATTGAAACTGTATGGTATAGCATAGATTGACAATTAATAATATTCATTACTTCAGTAGCAAAATTCCTCCCTAAATTTGGAATTGATGCCAAATATCTAAAATAATAATAAAATTTAATACTAAATAATTTAAATGAAAAATTAATTACACAACTAAACTATTTAAATGATTTTTTTTACTCACACCCATTAAGTCTTTCAAAAGGAAAACACCAAAAACTATAAAGGGGTCCGTAATCCAATAAATATTCTTTGCATGTTTGGTGTCACAATTTCCAGTCCCCAAATAGATTTAATTTTATTTAATAAATCTTTTATTGCTAAATCTCCATTTTCGATATCTTCAAGACTAATTATAGTTTGCCTCCAAAGTGAAAAACTTCAGAAAGAATATCACATAAAGCCAATATTGAATAAATCAAACACCAAGATTTCCACCGATCAACAGAAAATCCAGCAAATCGAGATGCTATTTTAAGAGGTATACAGCCTATATCAGAAGGAGGTAATGTAATATCAACAATATTTTGGATCTTTTTAAAATCATTTGTAAAAATTAATGGTTGTTTGTCAGAAGTCCATGCTTTTATCATTCTTTTAGCGGTATCTAAATATAGGTTATGCATGGGATCTATTACAATAAACCGTTGAATATCAATATACAGAAGTCTAAGTAAAGTTGTCCATCAAATTCCATGTTTAGTAAATATTTGGTTACATATTGTTGGACTTGCATTTTTAAATTTATAAGCAATGCTTCGATGCTTTTCTTTTGAACGTTGTGGAAAATTAGTGTCAAAATTACTAAAATCTGGTTTCCAATATCCAGTATTACTATCCTGAATCGTAGGAAAGGTATGATCATATCTATAGCATTCTCTTTTAGAAGAATGTCCAGAAAATCCACCAATCTTATAATATTAAATAATAATTGATATTAAATTTTATTAGCAAATTATATAAAATTAATAAAATTCATTACCTTTCTCACGGTAGGAGTATCACAAGAAATCATAATTAAAGCTGCACGATAAACGCGACCAATTGAATAATTAGGTGATTGTATAACTTGACTAGCCAATAATTGAAGAAGTTCATCAACCAAAGGATCAATATATTGATGTATTTCATTTACATTTGGCTCGTGAGGACCTGGTATTATTCTAACAACAAAAGTATTTTCTTCACGAAATTGCATATGACGTGGTAAATTCAATATTGTTAAATATATAACACCAACAGAGTTTTGAATATGTTTGCAAGGATTAAACCAGTCTAAATTTAAAGCAAATCCGATACAAACTTCATGAGTATTTTTAACAAAAAAAGGTTAATTATTAGAATCAACAAATGTTTTCCAAACCCTTCCTTCATATATGTCAGCAAATATATTATCTTTAATTTCTCGATCAAAACATGATTCTAATAAAGCTTCTATTCCTGGTTTTGATAAAAGTAATCCCAATTGTTGGATTATTGAATGGTATGAATATGTTTTGATAGACTAATTAATAGCAAAATATTTTTTTAGTAAGTTAAAGTTTTAAACAGAATATTAATTATTAATTAATTAAAATTTGACCTTAATTAGATGATTTCCTTTAGAAGTTCGAACCGTCTTAGTAATTATTTCATTGCATTTGCATCTGATGTGTTGATCTTTACCATTAAGAATGTCTGGTGAATAAAACTGATGACATTGTGGGCATACAATATAACTTTTGTATATAAGATCAATTCCAAATAATTAATCAGCACGATATATTGTTAAAGGAAAATCAAGAAATTTGTTTTCATTAAAAGATTGTAATAATTCTTTAAAAAAATCTAACAATATAGCGCTTGCTGTTTGAGGTAATAAAAATATATCCTGGAAAAGGTAAACCCAAAATACCACTTGTTTTATTGTTTCATCTACATTAAGAATTTGAGGATTGTGATAAATATCAACAGAACTATAATTAGTATTTATATATTTATCTAAGTTTTCATATTCCGTATATTCATCCAAATCTTCATGTTCTATATGTTCATCTAAATCTTCATATTCTATATATTCGTCCGAATCTTCATGTTCCATACATTTGTCCAAGTCTTCATGTTCCATATGTTCATCTGAATCTTCATGTTCTGTATTATTTTCATATTCAGAATTTAAAACATTAATAGAACTTTCTCGTAAAATAGGTATTGAAGGAATTGATCAGCATATTTTTGATTTCATATTATGTGAAGTTGTAATAATATCATCATTTGGTAAAAGTGAAATAGATAAGGGTTGATTTGAATAAACATCAAAATGTTCATTTTTAACTTTTGTTAATATATTCTGTTTGTTTTTAACAAGAGGTTTGTTTGTGTTGATCTTTTAATAAATATCGACGAAATGTTCTTTTTGAAACAAGACTACCTTTGCATTTGGTACAATAACATTGTTGTTTATTTATTATAATTTTAATACAATTATTAGATAAGACTAATGTTGGTTAAATTTTTGTTTTTATAGAAAGAAAAATAAAAATTTGCGAGAAGATAAAAAAAAATTTCCAAGAAAAATTCACTCAGAAGATATATCGTATGCCGATCATTTTTATATTAGTTCAACAATAGAAAGATTCGCTATACTATAGTTATAAACAATTATCAGTATAAGATCATAAAGAAAAAGGTGTTTGTTTTGAAACTCAATATAAAATTTATTTTAATTTAATATATCAAACTACAGTATATAAGTATATAAATAATGATTTATGAAAATTTTTTTTTTATCTCTTTTTATAATTTTCTAACTTGAAAAAATGAATGCAAATACTTTCTTAACGAATATTTCCAGAAGTTTAAGTTCTTTAGAAAAACAAAATGATTCATTATCAGAAGCAATTGATGAAAATGAATCTAAACTAGAAGAAATTCACAAAAGTATTACAGATGTTTCAACTTTGATACAACAGCAAAATATTTCTGTCAATAATCAAATCAACTTTATTAAAGAGGATATTAGCCAATTAAAATCAGAACAAAATAATATTTTAGATAAAATAAATGAAGTCTTGCTAAAAGTAGAAAACAGCTCGAATAACCAAAGCAGATTTTTAACAAAGTCTTGTAGACGAAAAAAATTTAAATCAGTCGATGATTTACTTGGTTCTAATTCAGAATCAGAAGCTGCAAATGACAAGAAGTTAAATCCATATGATTTAACTCCTACTTTAGTTGCTCTAATTCGAAATAGAATGAAAGAAAATGAACAAGATAGCAAAGATTCTAATGATGAATCCATTGAAAATGAATTTTCTTTTAATTATTCTAAATCTTTTACTCACAAAGTTAATCAGAAAGTCCTTAAAGCATATTATTCATTTTATATTAAAGATTACAAAACACGTGGAGATAACTTAAGTAATTATACAATTTATTTTATATGTATTGTTATTTATTTATTTTTACTTATTTTTTTTTATAGAAAAAAATGAAATATGGACTGAAGATATGATTTGACAAATATGTAGTACTTATTTTAAAATGAGACGTAATGCTTTTAATGTTTCACCAGAAAAATCAAAGACTATAAAAATTAATAACCGTCGTAAAAATAGAACTTTAAAGGTATTGTATATTATAAAAATGAAATTGTTTTGCAAAATTTTAATAATATTATTATTTGATTCTATAGAAATTCAATGCTCGAAATAATGCTATTGATACGTTTGATACAGAAATATTGGGTCATCCAATTAAAGAAGTTAGAGTATTGTAATATCACCTGAAATTAGTGATAATGAATTTACAACTCAAAATAAATCTAATAATCAACCCATATCAGAAGAAATTTATTTTGTTCCTTTTATTCCCTAGCGTAATGACAAGGTATTATTTAAAAAATTACTTTAACTTATTGTTAAAATATAAGTAATTTTATGACTTTTAATTCATTAGGCTATAAAAGTGCGTGATATTGTTGATTCTAAGGTTGAACAACAACGTCAAGCAAAGTCACGCAAGGGTTCTGCTAGTGGGAATGACAACTCCTTATCAACGTATAACAGTATCTCCAAATAAAGCAAGATTTCGTCAATTATCTTCATTTATCCCGGCTTATCCGACATCTTTAAATTTTCTACGTTGGGCTATTAAAACATCATATGATTTAAACACTATCCTTTCTAATGCAATTGACTCAGATTCTGAATATGAAGTTCAAAATATATCAAATCCTACGTCTAGAATGAATATCAATTCTAATGAACGCAACCCAGTTATTAAATTCGCAGGTAAAATTATATATTATTTATACTGTTTATATATAAATATGGTAATAATGATGTTACTTTTTCATAGAAAACTTTGAAGTGATTTAGAGAAATCATTATTAAATAACATTTACAAAGATATAAATTTCGAATCAACAGATGATAATGATAGTCAGGTAAATGTTACTAAGACGGTAATCAAGTATCATTTGAATTATTTTAGTAATACTCAATTTTGTATTTGTAGACGATAATGGATAATAGGGAAACATAAGATTCTATGAGGTCTAATGAACAAATTCATACACGTGATCAATTATTTTCAGATGGCAGTCAAGTTGGTCTAAACGATAGATCGATCTAAAGAAAAGTCTAAAAAGTGAAAATTAGACTTGAAACGAGTTGCTAGAGTTACTCGTTCAAAGGCCAAGGCTAAAGTTTCTAATGCTTCTTGATTTCATTTTCATATAATAGAATGATAATTCTAATTTTTACCGCCTCATTATGTTTTTAAAATTTAACGTCGATTTCATTGCTAAATTTCTTATTTGACGCTTTATTAGCTAGTTTTCTGTTATATTTCAGCTTAATAATTTACATGAAATTTATATACTATGAATATATAATTTTTAACGGATAATGCTTATGATTTATTTGAAGTATATACACATTAAACGCAATAAACGAGTGATCACATTTAAATTAGATTTATAGCATAATAAATGATATTGAAATTCATCATTGTTTAAATTTATCGATAATTTATTTAAAGTTTATACATTGTAAATCAATAAATTAAATTTCTACTTACTAAATTGGTAATATATTTCATCATTTCAGTTCATAAATCAAGTTTAACAAAAATTTCATAACGGAGCTTAAAATGAATAAATGTAATAGTGATTTTCAAGCTGTAAATTTTATGCAGATCCCTTGACTTTGACCAGTGAATGGTGAGGAGCTATATGGATCGGAAAAGATTGAAGATACGTTTGGAAACCCACCTAAAAACTATTACAATTTTGTCATTCAAGGAATTTGTGATCTATAAGACAATGCCATTATATCTATGATAGAATATTAATATTTTCTTTTTTGATTGATAACAATTTAGGTTACTGCTACAAATGTAAGAGAGGCCTTGATAGATCATTTAAATTACATGAAATTTCTGATTTTCATATAAACAACGTAAACAACGAGAATGCAGGTGAAAATGGACCTGAATATGGAAACGAGGATGAAGGAAATTCCCCACCAACTGAATCTGAATTCGTGGGAAATTCACAAATACATTGATATGGATGAAGATGGTTATTATAATGTAGTTGGTAAATATTTACAGGGCTAAAGTCTCGAACTTTGTATTTTATTTTGCGTGGTAGCTCACGTTATATCTGATATTGTAATAAAAAAAACTTTTCATTACTATAAAAGAAGTTGATTATTTTTTCGTGTGAGAGTAATTGAATCTTACATTCGAGTTAAAAATCACATGATCTTGTGGAATAAGGAATCTTTTGATTTATGATAATAAAGAAGCTTTCCGCATATGTAACGCTCGCAGTATATGCATTACGCGTAGTAATCACGTCACATATGTCTATTTTTAAAGGCGCAATACGATCGATTTATTAATAAAACCGGCCAAGAAAAAGATGTGTTATATTCGTCATACGAAGCGCCTTATGGCTTTTTTTTTGCTCGAATGTTCTAGCATATATGTTCATCACGCAACTTTGAAAAAACTGCCCCTTGAATTTGTATGCCTATCATGATGATTAAATTTGTAAAACAGATCTCGGAATGGATGTATTACCCTGTTGAAGTCAGCCCATCCAATATTACGCGTATACACTATTATTCCGATTTTTTCGAATACAATAGAATAGGGGTAGCGAACTTTGAGTAATTACTACTATGCAAAGCGTCCTCGGCTGATCAGATTTTCGTGATGTGATCGTCCAAAGGCGTATTCCAAAAGCCCTGTCGATTTTAGAATTATTGTAAATTATATAAAAAGGTGTCCGCCCCCAGTTAGTGAATCCATTTATCCGCCTTGTGCAAATAAAAAAAAGGAAAAATTAAGCAAAACAGCGAAACATTCAAACTTACCATAATTTACATCATCGATATTATCTTATCATCCAATCAAACAAACAAGTATATTCCGTAAAGTATTATAAGGTATGTTGGTTTTATTGCTCGGCTAGCTTCTTGGAACATGTCATCACGATGTTAATCGATTTCCCCGCCTCTACAGCCGTTCTAAAACAAAAACCGGACATATTACTTTTCTTGTTATATATCGGCATTTTGGTCTTCGCCGAGAAAATCACTGACCATCATCACGTGTACAATAGACGCGGTGAAAACAAAGTCTGGCGCAGTGCATCAAAAAATTTATCTTATATAAGCATCTTCACGTGCCGAATTCTTGAAACTTTGCGCAGTATCGCTCAGGCAATAACGCAGAAAAAAATTAGGCAAATACGAGGCGGAGTGTAATGTTCTAGAAATTAATCATGATGGTATGAATCGGTAATATTATTTATTGTCTTGTATTATTATTATTTTTTTTTTACCTCAGTTGCTAATCCCAAATTTATACTGTAGAATCGAAATTATTCAATTTAAGAAAAGTTCTCTTTCGGGGAATATTATTTTATATAGTCAGTGTGTTTGGGAGAGATATAGATAGACAAAAATTCTGTAAATATGTGTGGGATAATTTATTTCGAAAATCTAGTGTAGTAAAAGAGTATAGGGATGAGAATCTTGTAGTTAGAAATATTAGCAATAGAAACAAATTAGCTATAGATATTTTCCGTAAACGTGAGAGAGCAAAGAAATAAAATTGATGCTGGGACTCGCATTAAATGGCCTAGGATCCGCGTACTTCCTCCCTCTTTGATAGCATCATACATTTCACTTGCTTCTCTAATATTTTGTAATTCGTTATATATCTGAAAAATCTTTGAGAATCTAAACCACAGATCTAGACTGTAACTGGCATAACACCTTCAGAGAAGAAGCATGACACTTCGCTCCTTGTTACAGGAATAACA